GGAAATGATTTTTTTCACCATTTATTTAGGTTTGAAACAACTTCATTACTTAGCTGTGAAGTTATTTTCCCTGAATGAACTTACTGGGGTGAATGAATATAATATGCATGCACTGCATAGATATGTTCAGGAGAAAGATAATCAAATTAATATTGTTGTTTTTTCAATGTGCCATTACTATTTTCTCCAGAAAACCAGTGTAAGTTGGAATTGATCTTCAAAGGAAAATTTAAAATAGTGTGATACAATTAGAACAATATGTGCTGTTGAATGCATTTCTTTATATTGAGGTTTTTACCTTTTTTTATTTCACTCTGAGTTGCCTCAACGCTGACCATACTTTGCTAATATCTGAACTAAAAATATTAAATTTTTAATATGTTTATTTACCATAAAAATATTAAATTTTTAAACTAAAAGGGAGTAATACTTCCATCTGAACTTGACATGGGTAGGGATTAGAATATTCAATCTTATATGTGCATTGTAAAAAGCATATTTTTTCTTTTAAGGATTCAAATACATGTATAGTTGGAACAGCTTTTTCTCATTATTCTTTTTATGCCACTTTTTCTAGTCAAAATCCTGAATTTCCTTCACTACAAATATATCAGTTCTTTTCATCTTAGAGCTAATATTTTCTACATGAAATTGTTGTGATTCTACAACATAATATTGTAATGAGGATATCATGATGATTCTTAGTACTTAAATGCGATTAATTAGTAGTGAACTTGGCGTAAGACAGGCATTACTTGGCGTAAGACAGGCATTGTACTCTATCAATACTCCTTTTGAAGAGGATGATAGCATGAGATGAATAAGTGAATTATCTTTCTTCAATCTATTCTGTATATTCTTCTTTCATTTGGGTGTTTGAGCAAGCTCAAATTGCTCAATGAGGATTGATGATCATATCATTGTGCTCTATTGCAGTTTATTTATCCAAGTCAGCAGTCATTGAAATTCATTACTCATTTTGTCATGTGATCTTGTGAAAAATTACTTAAGAGTCCAAATCTAATCTTCTCAGAATCCCTTGATGCCCTTCCTAGTCCTCCTTTGATTGTGCCACCAAGTTGCAGTGAATTCACGTCTCTATTGTGATTTCATTCGCTCCAATATTGTGCTGTACTTTTCATTATTACTTCTCCGTTCTCCATCACCATGAGGGCGTCTCATTTCACACCACCAAAGTTTTTACACTGGTCTCCACCTAACATATCACAGCTTTGTTTCACCATATCAAAGCCTTCAAGAAGCAGCCTAACGACATCCTGATCTTGAAATTTTTGTTAATTTTTTCAGAATCAACTAAATTTGACAACCAAGTTCAACCCCCTTGCATCCACTCCAAGAAACCTCTGATCATAACTTCTATCTTTATTTTCATTGGATACCAAGTAGCGCCAACCGTATTTTCTATTTAAGAAATTGCACATTTTGCTGTTGGCATCGATGGAAAAAAACAATTTCACCTCTATTCATGTCCCTGCGTCATAACATCTCTCTTCTTCTCTTCTTTTTTTGCCTGCTTCGACCTTCTTCAACTGCTTCTTCCATCTCCCGCGTCTAGTTCCGTCTGCGATTTGCGATCCTGTCCATTTGTTGTCTCGTCCGCAATCGGTTATCTCATTTGCGATTCAAGTCTCATCCGCAATCTCCGATCTCGTTCGCTTCGTTTGCTTCGTTTGCTTCGTTTGCTTCAAATCTCCTTCGCTAGCCATCACTGCTTCTACGACATCTTCGACTGCTTCTTACGCTTTGCTTCGTCCGCTTCGGCCGCTTCAACATCGGCTTCGATACTCCTTCCTAAATCGATGGCTTCGACTTCGACAAACCATAGATCTTAGGCTTCGACATTCATGGCTTCGACACTCTCAGGCTTCGGCATTCTCAGCTTCGACACTTTCGGTTTCGACACTCAAGAATTGAGGATTTTTGGTCCCGACAAAGGTTTATGTTGGCAAATTGACGCTTCATGATAAGTCGACATCAATTTGAGTGGGGATGTCAATCAGGAGGGATGAAAATCAGACAGCTAAATTAAGAGTTTTTTATAATTAGAAGCTTTCTTATTTTCAATATCTTATTTTCAATATCTTTATTCTGATTTATTTCCCTTGTAGCTGAATATTTAGATTAGGAATATATATTATTAGGTTACCTAAAATAGATTATGCAGAATATTTTGTACCTAAAATAGATTGTAAGATTATTATTTAATGGAATGAAAGCGAAGAGAAAATGAATAGAGCCTATTCAAAATTCAGCCTATTTTTCTCAAAATTTTGACAAATAGTTCTCTTAGACTTCCTACTGGCTACTTTATATTGTTCTCATTTCTCTTATGTTTTATATTTAAATCAATTTTCCTTAATAAAACTTCTTATACTTTATCTTTTCATGCATATTATTATTTAACCCCGATTATTTTTATTTATAAAAAATTTTCTTTTGAATTCTCTATGTTTATCTTTTGTCACTTGTTTAATAGTGCTTGTTACTTTATCCCACATAAAATTAGTTTTTTCATGAACATTCTAAATATTAAAATCTTATATTTGCTCATAAAAATATTTTTATTTGTATCTTTTAAGTGCCCTTCATCTAATTCTATGATAATTTTTCATTATATATTTTATTTTCCAACTTTTCATCTCAAAATCCAAAATGAATAATCAATTTTGAGTACTAAAATTTTAACTTTGAATGATCTTGTAATCTTTTCATTCTCTGCGATCTCTTTTTCTCCTAAAAAAATAATCAATTTGTGTTTTATTAAATCTATTCTTATAAGTAATAATATGCTCATCTCTTTTCTTAAATAAAATATTAACAAAAGTAAAAATCATAGGCTAAAGCAAAATCCAATATGATGCTACCTTAGTCTTTAATCAATCTAAAACTGTAACCACCATAAATATTCTAAAATCTTCTACTACTTTACCAACATGTTCATTTAAATTTTCTCAAATAAATATTTCTTTTTTAAGAGGTATTATTTGTATTAATTTTTTAGGTCATTTCAAAATTTTTCTTTTGAACATATATCTAAGCCTACTTGTGGAACATAAACACTTATGATTCTTAGTCTCAATAATAATCTTTAGAGCTCTAATTCTATCTCCAATTCTATTAATTTTTACAACAGTATCTTTCAAACTCTTATCTATAATTACATTTTAATCATTTCTAGTACGACTGCTATATGAATACCAATGTGTAAAATCTAAGATATCAATCTTCTTATCTTGAATGCATAAGATATTTATCTTCTTATGAATCATACTTTTTTTAAATTCCATTAATTTACCTATGAAAGTATTTATATTCCAATATCTTATCCTAATATTAGTTTCATAGACTAACTTCTTTGCCCGAATCTGTCCATAATACGAGAACATTTGCTTATTTAACATTGCAGTCGGGCGTCAGTGCATTGACCCTTCCACACTTTTCACTTTATTCAATTCATATGTGTAGTTTTCAGGGGATGCTAGGGCATTTACACTACAATTCAAAAGATTCATGTCATGATTTTTTCGACAAGAGTTTTACACTGAATGTTGACTACCCTTTATTTTTTGTAGTTGAGGCTTGGGACTTGGCAATGACAACAATGGGATAATTTTTTTTAATTGAGGTTGAAAATTGGTTAATTAAGAATTTTGTTGCATCGCTAAGTTGGAAGACTATAGGTAAGTTGAATCGCTATGTAGCATCTTACTTGATTGTATTGAAAGAAATTAGCTTGCAATTAACAAATCTTAAAAAATGTCTTGAATTGAAAGTGCAATTCGAATCATGAAGAACATTAACGATGCTTCGACGGCGTTTCATTCTGAGGAAAAGTTTTGATGGATTTCTTCTAATATCCTTCACAAAAATGCCAAAGAAGACATGACTTAGCTTAATACCACTTCAAGGACTAGCGCCCTTGATAAGTTTTGTGCACTACTCTGGATGCTCAAAGGATTGATATGGCCATTGATGATAAGTTATATGTACAAGCCTCCATTATTGATTCCTTTAAATCATGGATCAAGATTGGTCAACGTTGGTTCTGTGACTTTATTGTTGCTTTAGCAGACATAACAAATACACTTGAAAGATTTTGGTTGAATTGATAGCCATCACTTTCATTGGATCTATTGGAGAGATTGAAATTTGATGACAAGGCTGTTGTGAGGGGAGTAATATTGTGATTACACAACATAATGTTGCACTTAGGATATTAAGATGATGCTTAGTTGAATGTAGCTAATCAGTAGAGCAACTAGCTTAAGGCAGGCATTGTACTCTTCAAATATGGCCTTTTAGGGAGGATGAGAGCATGAGATGAATGAATGAATTCCCCATCTTGTATCTTGTTTTTTTTTTCTTACTTCTTTGGGAGATAGGATTTGCTTGAATTTCTTGATTAGGATCAGGGATCCTATCAGAAACACATAAGAAAAGGCTTGAATTTGGTTTCTAGAATCAGATTTCGCAGTTTAACACGAAGTGCATGAAATACAATTCTTGGCTCCATGTGTCTCAATATGAAGTGTGTTTTTTTTTTCTTTTTTCGTTTTCAAACAATCTATGCAAAATAATCTAGCTCAAACAATTTAGTGACTGTTTTGTGAATGTCATTTATTCAGGAATATGTTTAATAAGGCTCTTCTCTAGTCCTTTTACCTTCTAAGTGCATCCAGCATCCCTGCATATAGTCAGATGCCATGCTGTTTTTCAGAGTTGCCATCATGTTAGAACTAGTACTAAGGTAATAATATTCCTATTTTTTCTGTAGCATCTTTCCTTGACTATTCATTTTTCTAATTTAAGTTTTAGTTGATTGAAAAAAAATGATGGAAACTTATAGAAACCTGTCTTTCAGAGGGTTTGAGACATTCAATCTGCAGCAATGCCATTACATTTCTTTTCTGTTTTATTTGATGCCATGCCAATGTATTATATGTTGCAACTTATCACCTTCTATTTAAATTTTGTATTAGGCCAAAGCTGATGAAATTGCCAAACTTATGAATGAAAATGAGATGTTGAAGTCTGCGGTTGAAGAGTTGAAGGTATTTACTTGAATTTATGCTCTATTTTTAGCCCCTTCTCTGAAAAAAGTTTTTTGTGGTCATTACTTTCTAAACCTGCTTGAAATTTGGCTGATACAATCTGCTGTGTAGTTGTTTATGTTTTTCTTTGTTCTTGTCATTAGACACTCTCTGTTATATTTTTCAGGATTCGATTAACTTTTCATTAATATTTGCATCAAAACAAATATTAAAACTAACTTCATTTCTTAGAATGCCAACAAGTAAAATCGTAGGTTTTTAGCATATAGAAGCCCTTTTAACACAATTATGCTTATTTGTTGTGTTGTAAGATGCCAAAAGGGGGTATGTCTTCCAAGGCTTTAAAATCATTTTGAAAATTGGTTTTGAAACATGAAATATATTTTAAGTTGTAATAGCTTGAGTGAACATGTTTTTACTCTCAGTATGATTGCATTTCAGTTTGTCATGCCAGTTTTTTGTTAGCACTGCAAAGCAGTAGAACTAGCAGTAGAACTTATAGAAATAACTATTTTACTTTATCTGCAGAGAAAATCAGCAGAGGCAGATATTGATGCTCTTCGTGATGAATATCATCAAAGAGTTGCCGCTCTGGAGAGAAAGGTTATTGTTGCTTATTTTTCCTCTTACATATTTTTTGTTTGGAATTGCTTATATTGTTCCTCTTCAATTTACATCAATTTTAGTTTTGATTGTAAGGGAACACCACTGGGGGGATGAACGGGTGCATAGTGGAGCATTTTGGACTTCTATTGAAATCTACAAATTCAAACACTCACAATTAAAACACTAATAGAAGCAATGCATTTTATCAAATAATTACACAAAGTAATTACTTAGATAAATATACACATGTAAAAGGAATGATGTACACAATGAGAGAGTTAATATAAATGAGCAGACAAACATTTGTCACAATATAATTTAAAACGAAATACACACTTGTAATTAATTAATCAAATTCTAGAAGTTTGACACCGCACTGGTTAACTAAGTTGTAATCTGTTTATGAAGCTAGTGAGTGAGTTATGACTATTAGGCTCAATGTTAATGATTTACTCAATTACACAAGCTAACCCAAATAATTCCTAACCCCAAAGTTACTGAAGTGCTTAAATTCAAACACATGAATGCGCTAGTAAACTTGAATGCTCACTATAAGCTTCCACCACAATGACGTTCAATTTCAAGCAAGTGGATTAAGTAAATAATGCAAAAATTAGAAGCTAAGCTATAAAGATATTGCACAATGAAATTTTTACATGGTTCAACCCCAATCGGGTTACATTTAATGCGCACGCCATCCATGGATTCAGGTTTCACTAACTTGGAGTTGCAACTACAAGTTCACTTCTTACTCCTCAATAAGATGGAGAAAATTTTATTTACACCATCTTTGTTAAAAGGTTAAGTCTAAACCTGCTCGATTCAACAAGCTCAGCCAAACTTTATAATGCTCTGCTAGGTTGCACTTGTTATTTAGAGTATCCACGGGGTGAACCCTCATGTTTTATGTAGTTTCATGGTTCCATCCTTGCACAGCATTGGCACCATGCCGTGCTGGAAATTAACCTTCTGATTACCATTATTCTTTACTTCTACAGCCGTTTGTTAAAATAGCTTTAGTTACACAAATTTGTCTAGCTTTTCACTATCTTTCAATGGAGTATCATTGAAAAAATACTAGAATTTTGCACTTACAAGAATAATACTAGAGAGAGTGATTTGGAAGGCTAAATTGCTCAATTTTTAGTATTTTTTTTCAATCATCGTTTAACAATTTCTTCTTGGAATTGTTTTGATCACATTTTCTAAGAGTATTTAGAATGCTAGAAAATGATTCAGCCCAGTTTTATTTGGTAACTGTCAAGAGATTTTGCAACAATTTCAGGTCTACTCCCTTACTAGAGAGAAGGATGCATTAAGAAGAGAACAAAACAAAAGAAGCGATGCAGCTGCTCTCCTGAAAGAGAAAGATGAGATAATTACTCAAGTTATGGCTGAAGGTCAGTCATGGATATGTTTTCACTGTCACCAAGTTTAGCAATAGTACATTTTCTTAATATTTACTTATTTTTACAATACTTTTTTTAAGTTTGACCTTAAGTGAATGGCTACAATGTGCCCTTTGAGAGATATCTTTTTTGTTTTTATGTGGCTGCAAATGTTGTCTTGTAATGGATAATTTCATTTCTTACTTTTTTTCAAGGCTCTAGCATGTTGAAAGTAGGTAAAGAACAAAGGCATGGCTTTTGCTACAAGTAGGTTTTTGATAGACAACTGTAGCTTAAAAGAATTTCTTATGCTATGAATTCCAATTTGCATGGCTTTAATCATCTGTATTTTGGATTGTGTTGAATGAAAATTTTGGATAAAGGTATAACTTCTTAAAAGGGTGAAGAGCAAAAGATTTTCTCGAGTTTTTTAATCATTTAGTTTGTTTTTATTTTTGATAAAATTTTGTAGTTGTTTAGATCGGTAGAGTAGGAAAGATTATCGGAAGTTTTTGATTTGGCACAATAAGCCAGGATCTGTACTTCCCAAATTTGTTGCTACCGTAAATCACTAGCAGTCTATAGAAATGACCAACTACAACAGTCGTGGAACTTAAAACTTGTGGGGTGTTTTTTTAGAGTTTGATATATGGTATTCATCCGTCTCTTGGTGGGGGTTTAAAATTAGTTTTTTCCATTCAATTTGTTCTGTATTAACTTTGATATTCCAAATGCATTCTAAACACTTGATCAAGAAAAAAACTTGTTTAATTTATTTGGAAAATTGAAAGGAGTCTATTGTTTCTAGTTTTAGAGCACATTGTTTTTTTAATGATAAAACCTTCAAGCTTGCTTAAAAATTTTGTTCATACTTGTAAATCTATGGCTGGTGGTATTCTTGGCTTATGCAAAGCACATGTTTGCTAGTTTTAATTAATATTTTGCAATTATTTCATATTTTTTCCTTTGCTTAAACTCTAAGTTTATTACTTTGGTGTATATTTTCTTCCAGTTCAGTGAATTGATTTTTCTATCTAGATTTTTTGCTTAGTTGGGCCTGCTGCAGTTTGTTACCTGAATGTCTGAAACCCTCCAGATTTGTCCTATATCTGTAAAATCCGAGTTTTTGTATTGTTGAAGAGTTTCACACCCATTCTACAGACAGATGGCGAAGCTGTAAAAAAACTTAAAAAATAAGTTTAGGCTGGCATTTGTTGCCAACCAACCCCCCAATTTCTTCTTATGGATAGTGAGCCGGGTTGCTGCCATTGGGTGGCTAACAATATCATTCTTAAAAATACAATGCACATACCATGCCTTTTAGATGAAGGCTCTGTCTGGGGCAGCGTTTTAGCCACGGTGCTTTTTCCTGCTGCCATGATGGAGTTTGCGGTGGTATTCATCTGGCTTTTTCTGCAACGTGGTTGCCTGCTTTTAGCGTTCTGTGACCATCTTTCACTGGGTTTGTTCTGCGATTTCACTTCCTTTTTCTCTCGAATCTCTCAGCTGTACTTCTGCAGACCGTAGTCTCTTGCAGATCTCTCGGGTTTTTCCGATTTGGTTCTTTTTTCTTTCTTCTCGTTCGAGTGTGTTCTTCATTTGAGGTATAATGAAACTTGTCTATTTTCCGTCTGCATGTTCGGGTGTGTTTAATTAGGGTTTATAGATTTGTCAATTTCTTCCTCTTCTGTTATGTGGGGGCAGCTCTTTTCTGTTATGTGGTATGCAGAAATATTAAATTTTTTATTTTCTGTGTAGCATTCTCTAGTCTTCTTTCTAATTGTTGGGAGTTTAGGGTCTTATGAGACAACTCTTATTTTTTTTTGATGTTATGTGGAATATGCAGATTTTTTAGCATGGTTTCTGGGTTTTTGTCATATATTTTGTCCCTGTTTATTTAAAGTTCCGGTGTATATGGTTCAAATTTTCTTGAGCATGATTTTCAATATTGTTTTTTGTTTCTTTTTAAGATAGGTCGTATTCGCCAAAGAGTATTGACGACTTTCCTTGTTAGTAATTGTTATGCCATCTTGTTTATTGTTTACTGTGCATTGGCCTCTACTTTGTTTTGTTGTTGATATTGCTTAGCAATTTATATGTGGTTGGCTTGGATGAGTCATCGACATCCTTAAATTTTATTTCTTTAGGATTAAAAAAATCAAGTGTCCTTGGTGAACCTTCTTCTCTATCCCTAAATAGTGGCAATTGAGTGATTGCAAGCCTTAGTTTTGATTTTCCTCTTATGAATTTTGCTTTTATTATGCTATTATGGCATATAATGTTTCTTACAAGATGAGCAAATGAAGATTGGTCATGATATTTAAACAAAGGGTGCTGAGGTTCATGTATGTGAATGTCATGCAATTTGGCACTATGTGATGTGTTAATAAAGTGGATTTATAGTACATTGCGTTGGAAGCTTTGATCTTTGGGGTTAGTGTTGGTTATTGTAATTTGATAGCATGGAAGCTTGCCTTTGTTTAGCTAATATTAATGAGTGGCATATACATACATACCATACCACCCAATAAATATTTAGGTTGTTAGTGGTGTTTGCAATTAATTTAGCAATTTTCGTGTCTATCTATTCTTTATAAATTTTATTCCAAGTTTTGAAATTGGACTTGGAATCAATTATTTTATATGGAGGCTTATGATGATTCATATGACCCTAGGTTTTTCTAGAAGACTTTTACGTTGCTATGATTTTTTATATATATGAGTTTGTCCTAAAGTGATCTAAGGCAACCAAAATCCCCCTTTTTATGAGTTCTCTATCTTGTTTTGATGATTTGATGGCAGATTCTTTATCTCTTTATATTGACTTTGAATTGTGGAATTTAATCAAAATTTTAAACTTCTTTTTTTTTAGTTTAGGGTTAGAAGATGGGCTTATGTTGCAAAATTTTTACAACTTTTTTCGCATATTTTGATGTAATCTTTTTTCAATAGTGAGTTGCAATGTGAAATCAAGATAAGATGGTTTAATCTGCTACATGGGAGAGATGTTGTGCTTGTTTTTTCTGTAATTTTTGTCTAAAGAAAGTAGAATTAATAAATTAACCTACAATACATTTCAAAAAAGAAGACTACCATAATATAATACAAAATTTTCACGAGAAAACTGATAGAGAATGTGACAGAAATCAACTAAAAAATAAATGAGACTAACTAAACCCTAAACCCAAAACACAATACCGGCCAAATAAACTCTTGTATTACAATATTTTTATTTTTTGAAATTATGCAATATGTACATTGAGGAGTCGCACAAAATAACCCTTTCATGCTACAATTTTATACATAAAAATGTTAAAATTACAAAATAAAAATAAAAATTGAACTGTTTGAATACCAATGATAGAATGAAAAAGTTAATAAAAAAATTATGGGCATAGAATCGACAAAAAGAAATAAATAATCTGTCATTATTAGAAGGTAGAGGACCCTGGAAGAAGGAGATCTTGGTCCTTTAAGCGTTTAATACCAAACTCGTATATGTGGTAAATCAAAGCAATAGAAAGTCCATCCAAAAGAACTCCTAAAATCATATGAATCATTAAAGCAATTCATAATCAAGCCAAACTGCATAGTATTTAATAGTTCGTTGAATTCCACAAAGTATTAAATTACATAAAGACCGAAGATATACCCTCAAAGAAAATGAATGTTTAAGGTATGCACCAGACATAACCGGCCCTAAATGTTTCACTCATCAACTAAAGCATTAGTAATCTTTTCCCTTAGCTGGATCATAATATCAACACATTCATCATCCAGAGTCGGCCGATCCTCAACATCTGCGATGTCCATTATTGACTGTTTAACTTTGCATTTATAAGTCTCATGTGAAACATGTGTGATCTGCATCCAAACTACTAAATTCAATATCATACTTTGAATAATATTGTCATATATGATTATGTGTTGTCATTGCCACTATTTTGACTTGTTTATTAAATGAATACACAGGCAAGTCCCTTAAAATAACTCATTTATTTTTCCAAATACTAAAATCCCTATAAAAAACACTACGTAATGAGGAATGTCATTTTTTAAACATTTCATTCCTACTACGAACCACTTGACTACTTCCAAAATCGAAGATGTGATATTTTGTTTAAGGATAGGGAGCCCAGCTGCATGGGTTACCCGACATTCACAAGATAACAGTTTCCTGTTGAATTACGCAAAATAGATACATTTAAATATACTTTTAAAGAGATACCTCTTACATGTGCAATTAAGAAGTACCTAGATGTAGCATAGGAAAATTAAATTATCAAGTGTGTTATAATTTTGAATATGTGGCTATCATACACAATTTTTTTCCATCTGGACATGACAAGTATAAAAAACATATTGAAGTCATACATCGTCGTAACATTGTGTCGACAAACCACAGCTTATGATGTAAGTCAGGTTCTCACCTTTTAGGAACACATGCATCAACATATGTTTCATCAATTGCCCCAATATAATCTCATACTACAAATAAATTTTTTAAGCACATTCATGCAACTAAAAAAACTATAGAATTTCATGTGTACGAGTTTAGCTTGAAGTAGGGCATATAGTGATGGTTATATGATATCTCGGTAGGTGTACTCTGAGAAGTATGCCCTAGAGGCTTCACTTTAGCAAATGCCAACCTAACAATAGCATCTAAATTGTTGTTAAATTATCTAATGGTTATTTCAAATGAATGTTGAAAGTGCTCAAAAGATGTTATTAATGACTTATTATGTGATAATATATAAAGTGTAATCCCTAACACATCTCTTATCACAACTTCTCATATTTCTTACAAATAGCTCCTTAATCTATTTATCTCCAATATATATTGATGTCATTGAAGGAGTCTTACAAATGCATCTTTCATAATACTTATTAATTATACATACAACAATGAGTATAGATTTTTGTAAAGCTATTGTATGTTGTCATCCATAACTGTGGTGCACAAACAAAAACTCAACTAAAAATATAGGAAATCACATAAGATGAAACAA